GAGACCGGCGGTGGGCAGCCCCCCGGGCCGCGGGGCTCCGCCGGGGAGGCGGGTACGGGCGTCCTGCGCTGGGGGCAGCGCGGGGTCCCCGGGAATGGCTTTGATTCCTTCCCGGAGTGCCGCCGATGCTTCCCTCAGATTACGAGAGCCCGTTGTATACCAACACTCCTTGGCTTCGATTAACATTTTAAACAAAACGCCACTTCATGAACTTGATGTTCTTTTGCTTTCCTTTTCACTTGGACAATAAAGTCAAAGAAGTTCTCTGGGAACATTGGTGGCTCAAGAGATACGGATGGGGGTTTGACTGCTGTGACATTGTTTTCTGTAAGGGTATTTTCTCAGGTTCTTAATTTCTGTCGCAAAAAGAAACCTGTGGTTATCTGTCACATAAAACCTTTATGCATCTGTTCTTGTCCGGAATGATACATCTTTTCTGAGTCTTTTTTTTTTTTTTTCAGATTTTCATGCTGCTTTAAGTCTGCCTGTTCTGGTACTGAAGTGTTCAAGTTTGGAAAGTCAGATTTTGATTAAGTTTTGTTCGTGGTGTCAAACACGCATCTGTTAGACGTGAGAAAGTATACTGAAACCTAGGTAATTTTGTCATGTGTGAGACAGATCAGAAAGGGTAAGGAATTTATGTGAGGTGGAGAGGTGAAGTGCTGTCTGGGTGTTCTCTAGTCTGCTTAGTCTTGCTAATTTTATTTTTGCCTAAATGCCCTACTGTGTTGTCCTTGAGTCTTTATAATGGAAGTGTTTTTGCAGCACTTAAAAATAATTAAACACGCTTCCCCCCCCCACCTAGCAACAAACCTAAACTTACAAGAATGAGCTACAGTCAAGGAACTGAGTCATAAGTATATAGAATGAGTAAAGGGATCCTAGCTGTCCAGAGGGCTGACAGTTAGTAATGTTGTATCCAAATGGAACAAGAATAGGGAGGAAACATTTCAGATATAATTATTTTCTCTGAATTTTGCACCTGAAGTCTGTTGTTCTGCTTGATGTGTTCTTGTATGGCCTTATATTAAAGGCATTACTAAAACCATGCATGGTTCTTCGAGTATTAGTTTTGTCTACTGAAAAGTCCTTGAACAATAGATGGTGTGATAGTATTGGAAGTACCATTCTGAATCCACCAGTGTTTGTCCCCTTACCCCTCCCAGAACGTTACTGTGGCATTACCAGGTCAGTGGCTTTGCAGTGGCAGTACATCAGTTGCTTCACACCCGCAAGAGATGAGGGGAAGCGTGTGCATGGGGTGAAGGTATATTGCAGCCTGGGTTTCTTGTTTGTCTGGGCAGAGGTAGGAGGGTGATAGGTTATCTCAAGTTTTCTTTTTTTCCTCACCAGCACTGTATGTCAAACGGCAATCCCGTTTAGACAGGAAGTGCTTGTAGTCTTCTCCTGCTTTCCTCTCTGCCTATTAAGTGTCACCCCACTGCTACTTTGGCTCTGTAATTCTCCTCTGTGAAAATCCCCGGGAAATAACTCCTGTCTTTTTAGGACCACAGTAACAGAGTAACTTTATTCTTTTGTCTGAAAAGTGCAAGACTACTGTTAAAATACAAATCTACCTGAAGCCTACCAGTAACTATAATCTTCTCATGCCTTAAGGGAATTCAGTAAAAAAAATGACTAAAATTTGAAATGGTAAATGGCTAAATGTGTGCATGTATTCTGGTAGTGTTCTGGTAATGTTTAGGATCCTGTCTGTAGGAGTCATGCTCACCCTGAGCTGGAGGAATGAACTTTGCTTCCCCTCCTCCCCCTCCTTCTTCCTCCTGTTAACTGAACCTTTCACAGGCATTCTTGCCTCAAATCCCATATCTTGAAATGTACTTTTTCCCCTCTGCTGTTGTAGTGTTGCTAACGCATCTTTGTAGGTGTCTTAAAGTTGTAACGAAAGAGGCTGTTTAGAATTGCATAAAAGACAACTACCAACTTGATTTAATAAGTAAGTAAAAATACAAAGCTAAAAGTTGCATATTTTACAAATAAGATGTCTTTCATGCTTTTTGAGTAGATATGACGGTGATAATCCACATTAGAGAGTCTAAATACTTGAAGGCTACAAAGGATTTTCTACCCAAACTTAGGAAAATTGTTCAGGTAATACCCCAAACTGTTTCAACCTCTAAGTGGACTCACTGTAGAGACAAAGGAAATTAAATTACTGTCAGTACAAAGGTGGGAAGTTTCTTACTACCATTAAAGTGAAAGGAATTAACCCCCCTAAATTGTTCTGTAGCTTGATATTGCCATAATTTAAACAAGGGGTTTACTTGATAAGTAGCAAATAGCAGTGTAAGAAAACTGTATTCAAGCAAATGGATCTGGGATAGTTGCTGTGAAGAGTGATGCAGTGCCTTATTAAGAGTTACACCACAGCTTCACCAATACTTAGGAATTGGTACTGCGGTTGGAAGCAGTCCTGTCTCACTTCTACTAGCAAAAGGGAAGAGGCAATGTGGCAAGAATAGCTGAATGTGTAACTGGATTCAGAACTGGCCCAAATTAAAACTACTTTTCCTGCTGCACTGCCCTTCTGACCTTAGCTTTAACCCGGATTACCTTCCACACTGAGTTGCTTATGTGGCAAGGTAAATGTTTATGCTGACTCAAAAGAAAGAGCAGAGTAAGGGTGAGAATAAACATCAGGGGAACTGATGTGTTTCTTATTCACTTATGCCGGTGTAAGGTGTTTGTGGAACTGTGTGCTAGTAGCGGTTCACTTAATATCCCCTTAACCAGGGTTTTTGACCTTTCTAAAGCTGCAAACAAGAATAAAAGATAGAGTAAAACTTTCTGATATGTTTTTAGGTATATCGTTACCTGCTGGCTTTCCAATGCCGCTTCTAGTGCGAGTCAAGAATACTTGCATAAAACTAAGAACAGGTTCTTTTAGATTAAGAATATATCCAATATAGATGTGTTTCAAGTGCTGGGGAAGGGCATAGACCTTAACAGATGTGCTGCCCTCTTCCACATTTTGCTAGTGACGTAACTATGGTAGTGAATAAGCATGTTATTGTGTGTAGGTAAGTGAATGGGACTCTAGGATATACTTGGTATTTGTGAGGCTTCAGAATTGTAACCTATGCTTTATAGGCAGAATTTTACATCAGTACATGAATACTTCTGTTTTCTGAACTCTGTTTTCCTAGAACACCTGATAACATCTGTAGCTACGTAGTCTTTGTTAAGCATTTTTTTTTTTTTTTTTTTTTTTTTTGAAATAACTGCAATATTTTGGCTGTTTTGGAAGGCTTATATGCCTTCCAGAACTTATGTTTGTTTTTAAACTTATTTTGAGACATTTATATTTTAAGCTTTAAATATTACTTAAAAATTTAGCAGAAGGAAAAAAGCCCAAGGTTGTCACAATATAAACACAAATAAGAAGACGGGAAGATGCCATTGTTCAGTGGTTTACTAGTCAGTTTGTCTTTTTCTTGAGTTTTCTATCAGTGATTCTTACAGGCATTGTCCTACTCAACAAAGTCAAACATGCTGTATGCAGGGGATATGTTTCTGATGAGGTGTTGCGGATGGAGGGAAAATACTGTTCATGTCTTTAAACTAACTTCCATAAAATTTTGTTGTTGTTGTTGTTGGACTTGGAATCCAAATTAGATGAGTAATATAGCATAAGTATCTTCTAAAAGATTAAGTCTGCTCTGTAGAGCTTTTTCTTTTCCTTCCCCAGTAAAGCTCTTCTACAAGGACAGCTCTTGTCAAGTCTTCGCTGTTGCCTCTCTTCGTCTTTGTTTCCCTGCCTTCATTACTGTTCATTTTCCACCAAGGTCATTATTGTAACGCTTGTATTTGAGAAATATATTTGAATTTTTCTGGTATGCTGCTTCTAAGGATGATGCAATCTTTTCATCCCATCCTAGTTTGAAAGAAGTAGTCTAAATTAGGCTGGAATTACTTCTCAGTGTGGCCAAGTTTTGAATACAAATGCATTAATGGTATGTGTGACTTCTAATTTGGAGGACAAGGAAACAACATATAAAATGCCTTTAGTGCTAGCAGTTCTGCAATGGAAATAAGGCACCATATATATTTTTAATTGGCTTATATTTTGTTGTTCCCCTCCTATTTACCCCCTCCAAAAAAAGCGTTGTGTATGAAGGGAATAATTTTGCAGGACTCCTAGCGTGAGGGTTCTTTTACTCAACTCCAGTAAACCCTTTCCTAGCATAACCATCCAGTCTGCTCACTCCCAGTTACTAGGTATCATTCAGATCACGCTGGGAGACCACTAACTGGGTAGGTTGGTGTGCTGCTGGGCCCTGCTTTCTCCTTTCTACCTGCAGACATTAGGATTGGCACGTGCCCTATAGCATCTAGTCTTTATGCTTTTGGTGTGTCCTGAAGAGGCAGGAGAAGCTATAGGAGAGAAGGAGGGATGAGGGAAAGAATTCTATGTTTCTTTCTTCTCTTTTCTCTAGAGTTATTATCAATACAGGTTTCCTTGTGGGGAGGAGTCAGGTACCAAATGTATTGTTTTGGGAGGTGGTGGGCAGACTAGAAGTTATATAAATTACTTGTTTCATCTTGTAATATAACTGTTCATTCCTTAAAACCTACATGAACACAGAGTAGTTGTTATTTGAGGGAAATAAAGTGTATTTACAGATAGATTTAGTTATTCAGTGGAAAACCAGGTTATACTACTTTGAATTGGTATTTGGCAGTAAGAAAGAATCAGTGTATTTCTGGAGATTTAAAACAGTCTGGGTTGCTATTTTTTTTCATAATTGGAAGATAATCTAGAATCACAGCATGCCTTCAGCTGGAGAAGACCTGGAAATCACCTGGTCCAAGCCCCTTCTCACTGTGAGACCAGCTTCTACATTAGATCAGGTTGTCTAGGGTTAAATGCAGTTGAGTTTTGAACTCTGCCCGCCAAGGGTGGAGGTTCAACATCTGCAGGGGACTTCTTTTGTCACTTTATGAATAGGTGAGCAGCATATAATACAAGTTTCTCATAAAAATTTGATTGCTAGTTCAGATGTGCAGTTCCCTAATTTACATGTTTCACAAGCTGTTAAATGCCATTCTATTGCTCTGCTCATCCATTTCTTTTGAAGCCTCACTTCCTACATGGCCAGGGAGGGAAGAAAGAGAAAGGGTCCCCTTTTTCCTTTACTGTATCTTTGGGTGACCTGATTATGAAGAAATAAGGATTTGTTATGCAGATCTGCACTTTGTATATCTGTTCTTTCTAAACTACTGCTAGGCTTGGAATATTGATTTTTCTTTGCTATTTAATACAGTGGGGGGGTTTGTTTGCTATTGCTAATCTTTAATTTTCCAATTATCTTCTGTTTTTCAATTTTTTTCCACTACACTGTCTTTATACAAACCAAGAGCAAACTAGTGAAATGCTACAGCTTTAAGTACCTGTGCTTCTTTTCAAAATTATGTTCATGTTTCATCTCTGTGCTATGTCTGCTTGACACTGTACTTGGTTCTATGGCTTTCTCGTTACGTTTATTGACATTTTAACTTTCTAATAGAACTTTTTAGGTCACAATTTTCACTCTGTGGTTGATGTGGATGTCTGCTCAGTTGTAACACCAAATGTTTTAATCAGCTTTTCCCTTAGTGCTAAGAGGCTGAAATTTAAGAACGGTGTTTTATCTTTAAGCCACCACTAAAAATACCAGATTGTTACATATTAGTACTCATAGACTGGTGACTGAAATAAAAATCAGCATTTTGATGCAGCATACAGATAACTTGCACCATAAACTGTGTTTCTATGTATAGTATCTTCAGCAGAAATTTTCTGTATAGTTCATGCAGTTTTGGTATATGAAACCTGACCTCCACAATTTTTTAACTGAGCATGCTAGACTATTTGCTGAAATGATGCTGTTGGCTGCTAGCTGAACAGACAGTTCTATTTTCAACAAGGAAATAGAATACTAATTTCATATAGTTTCAGAGTAATTTAAACTTGACTAGTTTGTGGGAGTGTCAAAAGTGTCTTGGTTGAGAGGACTCTCCCTTCTGTCTATCAGTTTCTTTTTGATAACTTTTTATACTGTGTGATTTTTGCCTTATCTTAATTTCTTAGCATAGTCAGAGTGGTTTCTTTCTTTTCTCCTCCCTCTTTCTTGTTTCAAACACTATTTCTAGATTTGTCCAGTGCAGACTGTCTAATACAGTGTAAAGTATCTTTTTTTTTTTTTTTTAGTCTGTATGGATAGATTTACTCATGCAGATCTCATAGAAAAATAAAATAAACTATCTGTATTGACAGAGCAGTGTCAAAGAAAACGTTATGCTGATTCAGAATTTTACAAATATGGATTACCCATCTTCTCCAGTATGAAATGGGTTTTTTTTCCCCCACTGGCTGATCTTTACACATTCAGACTCTTGAGATTCTCAGCAGTCAAAACAGCACAGCTGATGGTTTCATAAGAGTTTGAAGATGTCATAGTTTAGATTAATGTGAATATGGGTGAAAGTACTTAGGGTAGTAGGAAAGTCTTGTCACTGCTGTGATCTTCTTAGGATTATGTTTCTGTTGTAACTGATGTTTGTTTCTGTATCCTTCACGGATTCTTTCCTCCTATATATTTCACTTGCATTGTACAATTATTTTTTTTTAAGCTGGGAATTCTTCAACATTTGTTTTGCAGTTGCATTTGCTTTAAAGGTATTATATTAATAAACCTTAAATGTGTTCACATAGCATATGTGCATTAAGTCAGAAGTAATCAGTTTCAAGAATCCTCTATTTTCCTTCCCGTAACTGAAGCTGTGATAACCCAGTGGGAGTTTGTTCAGGTTTTGAAATACATGGTTTTTATCAGTTTAAAGGTAGGGATTATGTTATATGCAGAAGTGTGCTTTGAGTATTACATTATTAAGGGAAACAAATTTTCAAGCAAGAAAACATAAAAACAGTCATTCTCATGGCACTGATACTTTGTCCTTGTTGGCTTGTGTGCAACAAAATGTAAGAAATCAAATCTAGTGACAAGGATGCAAATTATTATAGCTGTAAAGGAACTAGGGTAACTAGGAATAATAATTTTGAATTTTTCAGCTCAAAGGGGGGATCCATATTTAAGAAGAGATTTAGCATTGGTTAGTTAATTCTTCACTAAAGAAGCTGTGAGTTGAGCAATATTGTCTGACATGTGAAAAGTGCAGTCATCCAGTTGGGTATGGTTTTGTCTTCCTTAACTGCAATGTAAGAATATGGAATCACAAGACAGTCTTCAGAAAACCTTGAATTCTCCCTTATAGTTTCCAAAGAAACTTTACTTAGTGTAATTTAAGGGGATTTGTTCAATCATAAATAATAGAATACTCTGGTGTATGGTGATTATACTCCCACTGAAAATGTGTAGCAATTTACTGTTACTCATTTAGCTGCAAATAGAAGACAAATGTGATCAGCTGTGTGCCTGTGTTTGCACGCTGCAGGATGAGAGGCAAGGCAACATTTTCAGTCAGTTGGCAGGCAAAACCATATTTCTGTTATCTTTTTTTCTCTCCTCCAAATCTAACTATATATTTGATTTTTATATCTAGGGTGTGGATTCAGGATTTGTTCCTAGCGTTCATGATTTTGACAAGAAACTTACGGAGGCTGACGCTTACTTACAGATCTTGATAGACCAGTTGAAGGTATGGTAATGAACTGGTGTCTTTACTGTACTGGGAGTCTGCTTGTCAGTGTGGATTTCAAGGTCTGGTTGAAAGGAAGATCAACAGAAAGAGAGAGTCAGGTTTTATGCTTGGCATGTGTTCTAGTAAATGGGGGATGCTGATGTCTGATGATGATAGAATTTTATTTTATCTTTCTCCCTAGCTTAGATGTTACATAAGTTCTAACTACTTCTGAAATAAAGAGATTTTTAGTAGAAGTATAAAAATGAAAAGTTACAAGCTAAGGGCTGAAAAAAGCTGAAAATGGCTTTCTCTTAGAATGGAACTTGGGATTGTTAAAATAGAGTTAGAAAATTACAATAACTCAAATTTTATGGAATGGTTTACAATGGCTGAAACGTTCTTTTGTTTATATAGTTTCATGGAAATGGCAGAGATAAATTTAATCGTAAAACATAATTAAATCGTTGTATTGCTCATGCATTTTAGAGTTTACCTTGAGAAAATTTTGTCGAGTAATATGTAACTACAGTTACAGATCGTTTCAGGCTTCACAGTAGTGATAGATAATCTGTTCTTTGTCCTTGAGTGAAAACATTCTGTAGAAATTTTGGACACATACAATTCTTTTACACTTTGTACATGTATTTTAAGAGTAGGTGGGAGGGTGAGGAATGATGAGGTCATATCTCAGTACTCACCTTTTTGAGAAAAACAGTTTTTGCTGCTGGTTAGGACACTTTTCCCCATGACTCAGCAGGTTAAAATTGCTGTTAAGATTGCTTCAGTTCTGCTGGTTTGGATTTTTTTTTTTTTTCCCCCCTGATATAATGGGCAAGTATTGCATGTGGGATATTCAGCAAAAATTGAGTTGCAGGGGTGGGCGGAGAGGGGGAAGAGCATACCAACAAGAATGGAGGTAGGCAAAAGAGATGCAAACAAAATTCGAAGCTAAACTGCAAAGCCTTGGTCAGGACTTAGCTTTGTCTCCCACTCCGGAGCCATCTAGCATGCTTCACTGAAGGAAGGTATTTAAATCTTTACGCCTTCTAATTGTTATTTCAGGCCAACGGGGGGGAGGGTGTATAGGAATTAGTTAATAATGAAAGAAGAGTGAATTTGCGGATGAACCAAGACTACAGTCAGAACCAGAAATCAGCCCTCAAGGGAAAGGGAACACAAGTCGGTTTAGACAGGCAATTGAATGAAGAACTGTAGCTCACCTACTAAAAGTTGCAGCCTCTTTTCTGAACAAGGGTGGATATGATGAAGTTTTGGTCATTACCCTTCATCTTTTTTCTTCCTTTAATAACTTGTTCTGAATGGTTATTTGTATGTGCACCTTAGAGTGCTCTTGGAGGCAATTTTTAACTGTTTCAGTTCAGCTTGTCTTAAATATAGATTCAAGCTTTTCAGTAAGAATTTGTTTCATTTTGCCTAGCTGCATCTCATATTCCACTTTTAAGAAAATAAATAGAAGCAAGTGCTAGCACATATCTTTACAAAAGAAGTGCTTTACAAATCCTACATGATTTGAAGCATGTACCTGAATAACAAGGTACCTGGAAGGGTTGCTAAGGGTTGAGTCGGTTTTGGTAAACACTTTATATGCCCCAAAGGTCTTTGCTGAAATAAAAGAAAGGCAGTTTGATGTATTCTGATGAGTGTCACATTTATCACTTAACCTTACCTTTTTCTTCAAAGCCTGGTAGAATCATATCAGACTGAGCTGTGGAACTAGCTGGGATCTGTGATACGGTCTCTTGCAGGATGGGGATAATGTGAGAAATTAGTTACAAATTTGTTATATCACAAATGCTGTAAATAAATATTAGGCAAAAACTGCATTGGGTCATAATACCAAGATTGTATAGCTTAAGTATTTATTAAATGCTTTTGGTTTTGAGATTTCGGTGTTTCTGGCTGTTACTATATGAAAAAATAACACTTGCAGTATTTTCACAAGTATATCTTTCTTTTAGCTCTTTGATGAAAAACTCCAGAACTGCAAAGATGATGACCAGAGAAAAGCAAGTACATTTTGTCTTAAATATTGTTTATTTTGCTTAATCAGATGGGTTTGGGCATCAATTTGCTATAGGCTGTAGAAATTTAAAGTATAGTTCAAATTCATCAAGTTGTCAAAATCACTTAATCCAATATGAATAACTGATAGCATCATTTGTGTTGTGAATAGGTAGCAAACAGAATTTTTAATAATACTGGTCATACCATTGAAAATGTTTTCAGTCTGTAGGAAATTATTACTTGTCTGTTACACAACTGTGAAAAGCATTTTTAACTTAAATTTGCTATTTTTTGGTCTTTAACAAGGATGAGTGTTTAATGTTTGTAGGAATAGCAAAGCTATTCTGAAGGAAAAAAAAATGCTAATAATCATGTATTTCACATTAAGCAGTCTGTGTAGTTCTGTGACTAACATGCCACGTGTTGCAAGTCTGTGAATACCATAATTCATTCACCTTGGGCAAGGATGCAAAAAATGTAGCTACTCTTTTAGCAGGGTTGTAATTCACTTGTGTATTTTTTTTGCATCCCCTCCTATTTAATTTCAAAGTCAAGTTTGTAGGTCAGAGTTCAATCACTGTTAAGAAAGGCTGGCACAAAGCTTGAGTGGTATGGTTATGGCATTAGGTAGCATGCAGGGTTTGTATGTTGATTTGTGTGGTGTGGAGGAGGGATTTAACAATTCCTTATGAAGGGTTTATTACTAAGGAGTTGGCTCTTGTTTTCAGCAAATGCAGTCATTTCAATATTGTAAAGTAGTAGTGTATTTCATCCTAATTCCCTCCCTCCCCCCAGTTTCACTTGTGAAAAACAAACTGATGTTCTCTTTGTGTTTGGTTTCAGTTTTGAAAACAGTTTGATGCTCTCTGTGATTAATTTGATTCTTTATAATGGCTGTGACCTTTCATGTGTTATCCTCCTTGTTTGATGTGTTATGTGGCATCTTAGGGACTTGACAAGTGATGGTCTTTCTGGAGTTCTTTTGCACATACAGGCTTTTAAAATAACTTTGAAGTACAAACATTCTTTGTGTAAGCGCATTTAATCTGTTGACAACTGACCAAAAGAGTAAGATCTAAAGATTTTGTGTTTCTCCTTCAGTGTGTCTTCTCAGTAAGAGTTCTCCTTCAATTTTGACCTCCCTCCAGATGCTACTTTGCAGATCAGGCAGTACTTTCTTTTTCCCTGTGACAGTGCTTCTAATCCCTGGAGTCTTTCCGCATGTTGTGCTGATTTCTTTCTTTATCTCTGCAAGGTATCTGTGGAACAGACAGATTGACTTTATAGAGAAAGCAGGAGGCTTGTTTAGAAGAGGTCAGCTTCCTCTGGTTTTAAATCTTGATGAGTGTAGCTATTACTATAGATTCCATTTATTCTCTATTAAAAATGAAAAAGACTCGACAAAGCACTTTTTTGATCATGTCTCTTCCTGTACTAAAGCAGCTAAGAGGTTTTTTGATACTGCATTTAGCAGTTTTCCTATTTGTTTATGGATGTATGGTTCAGCTATCAGACTATGAGCTGAGTGTAGCCTGCAGGATACTTCCATCCAACCCATAGTTTTTTCCTCTGAGGAAACAAGAATTGGTTATTGAAGTCTTACATGCTTCCTGACTAGCCAAGTGCTGTTTTCTGTTTATGGCGAGGCATCCAGAACCTGAGTTATTGTTTTTGGAAGTGTACAGAGCATTGGATGAGCTGGTTTTTTAGTTACAAGTAATGATACAGGTGTTCCAAGATGCTTCAAGATCCCTTGGATATATTCTTTCTGAGACATGGTAATCTGTTGAACTTGGAAGAAGACAGTGCAGGTGTACACTTGAATTTTGAAAACTGAGAAATATTGTGATTATCATTAATTCCCTGTGTTACATTGATGCTCCTGGTGGAAGTACAACTAGCACTGTATAGTGGGATCATACTGTCTTGCAAACATAACCAGCAGTGCTGCCCATTTTGCTGAATCTACTGGTGGAGTACAATGTATATATATCTGATTATGTTGGAAGTAAAGGAAAGCGCATGATCTGAGGGTACTGGTGTTTCAAGGTGAAGACAAGATAGGACCTTGCTTTCTTGCAGTGTTAGCAATATTAGTGGTGAGAATTTGAAGTAAACTTTTCTGTTCAGTTTTGTGAAGTTATCTTGACCACACATATAAGGGAGACTAAAACTATAAACATTCAAAAGCACCATAACAGCAAAGAGATGTATATTTGGCAGACTGGAACAAAGCTGACTTAACGAGATTTTGGAGGGAAGTGTTGTCTGCTTAAGCTCTGTTTGGTTCACTTTTTTGTTGAAGTAAATCCAAGGCTGAGCACACAGGTTCAGGTTGCACCTTACCAATTCTGACCACGAGTCGGCTACCCCCATGTGCCTCTGCTACCTCTCTTTGCTGGACAAGCTGATCCCTCTATAGTCACATGATTGTTGAATGAGGCAAAAATAATGCTCAATGAAGTAAAATCAGCTTTCTGTTGTATCACCAGTGGCTTTATAAAATCAGATGTCAAGGAGGTAGAACAAGCAGCAGGTAGATGGAGTAGTTTCAGCAATTTGATTAGATTAGATGTAGCGTGTAGCTTTATTCTGCAAATGTAAGTCTGTAGGAAATTCATGTTTCATTTGACAATATGTGTATTCATTACCTAAAACTAGGGAAAATGTCTTATTAAAATCTTACCTTCATCAGTGTTCCAAGAGTAGGGACGTTGAAGAGAGAAAATTGTGGTAACTTTTAGTAGTAAATTCTATTCTTTGATTTTATTGAGAATGTTTATCTTCAACATACCTCTGTTTACCTGCTTATGATTTTCCTTACCATTTTCTATGTTTCTAAATAATTTGTATTACTTTCTTCAGTGCAAGTTTAAACAAAAGATAATGAGAATAAAGTTACAAGGATTGTAGTGGCCCATATATAGCAGTGTAGTTCGGTACAGTTGATGAGATGAGACACAAGCATTCTCCTAACTTCTTCCTTGTCCACTTGCTTTTCTCTTCCCAGTGTCATCTCTATAGTGTGTTTGTATAAGATTTTATGGGGGGGAGATCTCAAACCTTACTTGATGCCTGCTTACATCACTGTTCTAGAATAACACATTGCTCATGAAAATCCAGAGAATTCCATATCAGTGTTTTCTTAGCCCTAAAGAATAGGGGCAGTGCTCTTTAGAAAGGTCTTCCAGGGTCTGAGTTTGACTGACTTGCCAGCATTGTTCTCATAATTTTGTGTACATGCGAAGAAGACATTATTTCAGTTCCATGTGCTGTATTCTTGCAAGGTAGCCGTACAGCACAAATGGGAAAAATACTGGATTCATGTGTACTATTACTACTTAAGTTGACCAGCTCACAAAGAATTCATTTTCATAGGGGAAGAAATTTTGACTGTATAATTTGTGGATAGGCCTTGGAAACCAGGTGTCCTGAGGTTTTTCCCATCTCAGATCTTCTGTGTGATCTTGGACAAATTACCCTTTTGGCTGTACATGTGTGCAAGAATAACAATGTCTTAGTCTGGGTAGGAGGAAAACTGTGTGACTGAATAACATTATATGGCCTGACATCACTTTCAGATTTTCAGCAAAGATTATATTAATGAAGGGAATGAGATACCAGTTTACTTGATGTCTAAATACTCTGTAACATGTTGGGGGAAAAAAATAGGTAAAGAATAATCAAATCTGCTGACAGCTGCCTACCGTTGGCTATAGAGTTTTGAGACTGATTTATTTCAGCTGCATAATCTTTCATCTGACAGGATATGTATGTTTGGGTACATTGCCTATTCTATTTTGGTGCTAAAAGGCTCAAAACTTCACTGCTGTCATATTTAAAATGCTTTTTTCAATATATGTTGATAAAGTTTGAACTGGAAGTATAGTAGAGACAGGAAAAACCAAAACAAAACAAAGGAATTTTTAGCTGTTGGCATATTTTTCTGATAGCAGCAGAAGTAAATTTAATTTAACTTTGAGATATAACATCCCTGATATGCTGTTACTGAGATCAGCATGGTCCAGTCTTTCTAGTGGAAAAGGCTGAAGGCTGTGTGCTGTTTGGCCACCTCTTGCCAATTAATCATGTATAGTATCCTTATGAATAGTATATAGAACAGAGTGTAACTGAAAAAATATTCCCCAGGTATTGGCAGGGAAGCCACCACTGCATTTATTTTCTTTTTAATCCACAAGGTGAGACTATTCATTTCTGTAGATACACAGATGCATGTTGGGCTCTTACGGTGTAGAATTTGGCTTGCAATGCTGCATGGGGAAAACAGTTCCTTTACACATGTTGATTATTCAAGAATCAAAAAGACTGTGACTCAAGTCACATGAGACACTCATATTAATCAAAACAAAGAGGCCCTGTAATTGAATTAGTAGCGATTCGGTGCTGAGTCCAATTTAATAATTTTGCCTTCTGCAGGCAGACCTAAGGACATCAACAGGATGCATATGCTTCTTAGATAGCTCATGCTTATGTATAAAATGGCATGCAGATGCCTTTGGCATGCCTGAAGTGCAGTTTCTTGCAGGAAATCTTTATGAACCAGTGTTTCTAGATAAAATTAAGTAGGCAGATTTCCAGATGCGCTTTTTACTGGAGGCTTAGAAAGAGCAAGGATATGCGTGCACTGTTATTTTCCATGAGTTTTTAAAAAATGTGCTTAACTGCATATGCTTCTTAGACCTGAATGATGATAATTTCAAGTCATGTTAATCACTGAAGTTCCCAACCTTGTCATCTTTAAACTTTAATTATCAGTTTGATTTCTGTCTTGTCAATTACAAAATGAAAATTGTGTCTATATACAAAAAGAGTCTTTAACATGTTGGTTGCTTTTTTTTTTTCCTCCCTCAATTTAAGATTAAAATACAGTGCTTGTACAGTATTTAAGTCAAACTAGATGCTGGAAATTGTGTCTTTAACCACGCTCTTTTGATTTTTCTTTTACAGAAAATTGAAAGTCTCAAAGAAACAACCAGTGTAAGTTTCTTTAATTATTATATCTATTATATATCAATTCTGAAATTCACCTTATTGTCTTGGGAAAGTTTTTAAAGCTTTTTATAGAAAAGTGGGAATCCATATTAGGTCCAACAGTGTGACAGCAGAGGCAGCCTGCTTCTGGTGCTATATTCAGATTTGTGTCTAGCACCTTAGAATCATAAAATCATAGAATAGTTGAGGTTGGAAGGGACCTTTGAAGGTTTGGAGTCCAACCCCATGCTCAGAGCACAGCCAGCTAGAGCAGGTTGCCCAGGACCAAATCTAGTTTGGTTTGAGTAACTCCAAGGATGGAAGCTCTAAAACCTCTCTGGGCAACTTGTTCCAGTGTTTGATCATCCCTAGAGTAAAAAAAGTGTTTTCTTATGTTTAAGGTGATTTTCCTGTATTTCACTTTGTGGCCATTGCCTGTTGTCCTGTCACTGGGCACTGCTGAGAAGAGTCTAGCTCTTTACAGCCTGCCATCCCAGTCAGATATTGATAAGATCTCCCCTCAGCCTTTTCATCTCCACATTAAACAAGCCCAGCTCCCTCAGCCTCTCTTCACATGACAGTTTGCCTGCTTGCAGTGCTCTGAGAGTTTGAAGCTGACCTCCATTTCACCCTGACAACCTGTGTTGTATGTGGCTTTGGAAACTTCAGTTTTCTACTACTATGCTTTTGTTGCTGGAAAGAAAAGGGGAAGGGAAAGTAGAGGTTCTACAGAAGTAAATGTGTATTTAGTTCTTGCCCAGTATTTCAGTTACTATTCTGTATAACTTATAAAAGTACCTGTAAATACAGAATATTATAGGATAGTAATAAATCTTTTTTCCCTGTTATTTTTGTTTTCCTAGAGCATGGTAGAATCAATAAAACACTGCATTGTGTTGCTACAGATTGCTAAAGTAAGTACACTGCAAACTATTATGAATTTTAATTATACAGCATTAATCTGTGTGAAAACAAGTGAAATGTAAAAGTGCCTTCTATATGATCCAGGATGTGTAGATACAAAAATTGGTATAAGTTGATTTATGTTACTATTTTAATGAAGTTTCTCTCTGCTGAGTTCCACGGCAGACAGTCCTATTAATGTTTGTGGTAACAGCCATGTTGATGACACAGTTTTTGTTTGAGATAAACTTTCTTTTGCAGAGTTTTATATTAGACTAAGAACTTAAACATAAGGGTGACAGATTAGAAACTGAAGAAAACTCTGCTTTCTGCTTCAATTAAGAATGTGACTAACAAGTAGAAAAAGGGAGAATTGTGATGTGAATAATCTCAACCGGTTTGTCAAGGTTTTTCATAGGTCTGAAGTTCATTATAATGTTGGAACTTCTTGAAGTAAGAATTTTATTATTTGACAATGCAATATGGGTAATGCACTTAACGCTTTTCACTTAAATGTTTTACTACTTTTTAAAATTTAATGAGATTTGGATTTACTTTTCTGTCAGGTTCTGCTCTTACAGGCCTTCATGTACTTTATTTAGAATATGTTAATTATGGAGCTGCTGATTTATATCTTGTGACCCAAGTGAAGTAAGACTGTGCTTTGCAAATTAATTTAGAGTATTTGCAAAATTCTGAGGCCGAATTTAATCAGAATACATTCTGATTTATTCAGAAATAGGTGTAGGCTCTTCACTTTTTCTTTTAGTCTAGATCAACTTTTATTTTTTTAGCCTTCAAATACAGTACTGCTATTTGTCTTCATTCTAGACGCCAGATACATTGTACAAAATTTTGAGGCTAATGAAAATTGAAGTGTTTAGAACCTTGCAGGATCAGAAGTAATTTACTAAAAGGATTAGTGCATATTTTGTGAAATTCAAATTTCAAATCAGTAGTTTAAAAATTCTGAAGAAAAGTTTATACAAAACCAAAAATATTTTACAAATAGTAGGGTACGTTGAAATAGTTTTGTGCCACATGAATCTAGAGCTAGAACAGTCTTTATTTCACATGGTGATACTATTGGAATCCATCACTTCAGTGATAGCAAGAAAAGCCTTGTCGGTGCTTACTAATTTGCTGTTATTTAGTACTGGGTATATTTAGAATTGTTCTAGTACAGTGAAACCAGTAAACTATATGTCATTCTTTGAGGATTTGCTGGAGACAATTATAGGTACATTAGATGGTAGTATGGTAGTTTTCTTACACAGCTATATGTGATTTGCTGTGTTACGGTAGCTGTTGGAGAAACTGTGTGCAACAAATTACTTGTTCATTTTTTGTTAATTACTGTATTAATGTATTTAATAGTTGTTATTTTCATGGAGGTTTAATTCCTGTGAAATTTTGCTATTTTTTAAAAGCTCTGCTATGTAATTAACAAATCTGAAAGAGCAGAGTTAAAATCCGCTTTGCAGGTTCTTGATCAGAGCTGGTAATAGCTGTTTGAGTTAGCTTTCTTGTTTCTATTGAATATCAAATTCCATTTCTGCTATGGGCAGGTTTATTGAGGGATAGACAAATACGACTGCTTATCTTGCACTGATGCTAAGTGTATTTTGCAGTTGGTTAGGTTGTTTGCTGATAATGGACAAAACTGAATTTATAGTGGCAGATGTAGTAATTGTATCAGGTTCAGTGCTTTATTGCTTCCACTCCCATATAAGTGTAAAGGTAGGTGGAATTTGGGTTCCCCAAAGATGCTAAGATTTGCTTTCTGTTACGCTAAATCAGTCCTTGAAGTCCTTTCAGTATCAGTAAATATAAACCAGTGTAAATAGATGGGTTTATCCATTGAGGAGTGGGGTGGTTGTTTTTGATTTGTTTTGCTAAACCGTATCTAAATCTTTTTTAGAGCTATTGATGATAAGGTTGTTTAAATTAGTGATTTATGCACAGCTAATTGGAAGATGTTGATCCACATACAGTGAAAAATACCCTCTATAAATCTTCCCACTATTTTAATAACCTTTATTCTCCTTCATCTCTTTGTCATCATCTTCTCTTTCTCTCTTAGGCAACTGTACTTGTTGACTACATGGCAGTTCTGTCGTGTGTCGTGTCCCCTCCCCTTTTCTATAAACTGTGTTGGTATCCTGATTTCTTACTGCTGTAGGAAATCAAGAATATAGGGTTTTTTGTTTTGTTTTTACATTTCTGTAAGTTGCATGTGTATGATGCATTATATATGTAAAAATGTATTGTGTCTGACTGATAGCTTTTTGTTCTCCTGTATAGAACCTTTTAAGATTCTGCAAGTTTTTTTTCCCCCAAAGTTGTATGTAAGGCAAGTATGGCTGCTGTCTTACACTGCTGAAAATAAATCGTATTAACACCACCCCTGCACCCCATTTTTACTCCTACAGTGCCTTTCATATTAGGAGACAGACTTCACAGTTACCTTTTGGTTGCTTGCGTACTTTGAAAACAGTTATTACTTCTCTATATACTCAGAGCATCTCCCTGTTTCAAACACACAGCCATGTATTATTTGGATGATTTTGGTACATTGAGGCAAACCTGGGGTTTTTTGTGGTTTGTTTTTTTTTGTTTTGTTTTAATTGTGTGTTAAGTTGAGCTGTTTCATGGACTCTTAAAACAACCTGCCAGAGGACTTGGACAGTTAAATTTTCATTAAACTTACTGGTAAATCAAGTGTGTAATCATGCCACTTGTACTCAGGTGACCCAAGGCATTTTCAAAATAAGGAAGTAAATACCAGCTAAATAGAAATATGTTGTTATAATACATACATCACTTATCAAAAAGCAATCAAGATAAACTAAGTGGGATGGAGAGGTGGAACATTTGCCTTGTGTTGTCCCCTTTGCATGGATGGTAGTTGAAGGTGTCCAGCTTTGCTGATGTGTGTGTTGTAAAATGTATGTAATGGTCTGTCAGTGTAACAAACTACAGTCTTGGAAATGTATGTTTTATGAAGTAGCGTTTATAATTTAGATATTTATTTTTCCATCTTTGCCTTCCTTTTTTCACTCCCTCATTTCTGGTCAACCTTGCCTTCCTTACCTCATCAAGATGCCACATTGCTGATGTGCATTACTGAGATAGGATAGCAAGCTTTGGTACAAAAGCAGCATCTTTGTGTTTGATTTCTTAGGTCTTGGAGATGATGCCATAACATGGAAATTTTGTATATTGAAAACAAATTTTAAAAATTTGGACTCCAGTGTTACTCTTTCTTTTTTTGTTTGTAAGTTTGCAACCCAATGGAACTCATTGCCCTTAGTGTCATTTTTGTTATGGAAAGCCTTGCCTAAAAAATGTCATCTAGCAGACATGAAATTTGAGCAGTCTATTGCCAACGATACAAGCTAAGCAAACATGTATGAGGTATCAAAATATAAGTATGTGCCAACTTTAGTAATACTATTTACAGCTTTTTTTTTTTTTTCTTCCCCTGGTCCTCCTGACTTTAAAAGCTGGAAATCTGGGGAAATACTCTGCAGACAAGTCTCAAGGTTTACACTGAACAAAGTTACAGATTGATATACTGGCTGAACTTTGCTTCAGAAGTGATTTGGCTTAGTGTTCAGTAGAATTTATACTGTTGCTGACACAGTGTAGATAGGCATTAATTTGTCTGTTGCTAGTGTAATTTCCCCTGATGACACTTTTATTCCATGCATTTCCTCTTCTTTCACGCATGCTTCTAGGCAAACCCCCCCAAATCCTAGATTGTAAATAATCTAAAAAAAATGTTTAAATCTAGTGGATACCAAAAAGCTAATGTTAGAAACATTTAACTTATAAAGGCACTTCTGCCTTTCAAAAGCAAAAAGTGCTTTTGAAAGCTTGACCTGTATGCCTATCACAGTTCTTTAGAAACTGAGAACCTCATGTCTTTCAGTTTTCAGGGACTCATTGGTGCTGCAGACAATGTTTGGGGGGGCTCTTACCTATTTGGGAAGAATCTACATTGTAAAGCATAATTGTATTCTGCAGTGCAGAAAGGATATTTTAAAAATTGTTCAAACGTGTGTGGTCAGATCCTTGGAAAACTAATCTTCAGAGGTGCAGTGGCTGTGTCTAAGATTGTTTCTTCTTAGTTACTGTATCACATGGTGAGGAGCATTTTATGGCTGACAGTGTAAACATTCCTGACAGAAACTTGCTGTTCTCACTTAACACAGAACTGATAAGTCATACAAGATTGTTATGTTGATATTTTTAACATTTTTTCCTTAAGGACCAAAATAATGAGGAGAAGCACGCAGATGGACTTATAGTAAGTTTAAATCTAATCTTTATCTCCCTTTATTTCTGCAGAACATGTGAACAGAGACCTGAATTTCCACTCATTTTGCAACATACTTCTTCCTTTCTCTAATTTACTGCTTCAAGTGTCTTGTTAAAATTCCTGTCGAGTCATTAGCTTCTGAGGTTGGCTAACACCCTTGCCTTTAGCAGATATAGTGATCAGTTTTAAACTGAGTGCCTTAAATGGCAGTATTATGACTGAACACTTAGATAAAAATCTGCCATGTGAACAGATGAAAGGGAAATTATTGGAATAGAAATAGTTTTGTGTTCCATCTGAAGTATCTTTTATGTATGAAATAGATCAGCTATCTGTGTGCTTCAAGTAGTTTGTCTTTTCTACAGCACTGCTCATTTGATGCAAAGTTGTATCATGTCTGTTTAAGCAATGTTTCTTCTTTAATATAACTTCTGCATTTTTAATGTAACTTCATCATCTTTGGTTTCAGTCACATGTGACTTCTCTTTCTCTGTTCTCTTTTTGTCACTTGAGTACATTTCAGATACTTTTAATAGGAGATTGGTTTCAGTAAAACATAACTCTAAAACCCATAGTTTGTTTTCATTACAGCTGACAATAATTCCCAAGTTTATTGTCTTTCTGTTATATACAGATTTAGCAGTATGATTTTCTGGTATGAACTCTGGAAAGATGCACATACAGATTTCGGTTTCATGCTTACCATAACAATTGTCCTGTGGTGAGTCATGTAATTCAGGTCTAAGTGTAAGGAATAGGTTCTGTTATGTGCTGTGGAAAAGAGAGGTTATGCAGCTATACGCTACCACAGGCAGAGGTCGTATGCACATTGGATCTGCAACTCGGAAATCTCATATAGATATTAAAACTTAGTATAGTCTGAATGTGATTAATCACTATTCTAATTGTCAGTGGGCTGGCTTATGCTGAGGAGAAGAAAAACGTATTTCTGTAAGAATCTATTAACTGATGCATCAGTGATTGTGACGACTGAATTTTTGATGCTGTTGAGGTCAGTGTTAGTTTGAGCTAAAGGTCAGGCGGGAATCACTTAGGCAGCAATCTGATCAATGTTTGGTACCATGGTGGGATGATGGTCTTGTTGCTTCTGCATGGTTCTTTTTGAGTTGTTAGAGTAGGAAACTTTCAAATGTGGCTTCATCTGTTTCTAAACCATGAAGGCATACCCTAAAATACCTAATAAGAAACTCCATACTGCAGTGTAGAGAATACTTTAAGGATAAGGTTACAATTCAGCATACAAAAATCCGAGTTACTATAGGTTTTTTTCTGTTATCACACCAATGTTCTGTATATATATTATTTGTTTCCCTAAAAGTAGGGGAGCTAGAGATAGCAATAGCATCCTGTGTATCATAGGACCATCTTTATTTTTAGGATTCTTAACTCTGAATAAGAGAATAATGATTTTTAAAGTGTGAAATATGTGGGACAGGGACCTACCTGTGTTGCATGCATAATTGCACAAGCAGTTGTAATGTGTAAGGGGGACATTGATTTTTGTGCTGGAATACAGAGAAGTAACAGTCTATGTATTGGATTATTTATTTGTATGCTTGTTAGTAACACCAATGAAAATTTAGAAAGCTATTTTTATGCCATTTTTTTTAAACTGGATATTTTTTTAAATAACCAGAGAATAATACTTTTGTTTTCAACTAAATAAATTCTGTGCTATAAAATAAAAATAATACTCTTCACTGCTTCACTGATTTTAAATGTAGAATAAAGTTCAGAATAACAGTTAACCAAGGAAGGGGGCAAGAAAGACATTTTCATTTTGTAGGAAAATGGGAGGAAGAAGGTTAAAATGACCCTGTTTCAGTCTGCAAAGAGAAATTAATAGACTTAAGGGAGGGAAGAACAGTTAGAGACTCTCTTTTAATGTTTTGAATATTGATCTAAAAGAGGGTTGAAATAAACATACTGACTAAACTCAAAGACAAAGCTCATCTACCTCTTTTTAAAAAAGAACTTTTTAAAAAGTAGACAGTATTGTATGACCTTCCTGTGCTTGATATTCTTCAGTTTAAGCACAGTAGCAAGATTTCCTAGCAAATTACGACAAAGATTTTCATAGTTCTGACATAGGTCAATAGTTTTAAATTGCAAGATGTTTGGAAAAGGGTTTCATGTGCCTTTTGTCCAACTCACAACCCAGAACAACGAAGTACTGGTTGTTGCATGTGAACATACATAGCAAACAATCTTAGGTGATAAAGTTACAGGCCAGTGAAGCAAGGCAAAACCATGTTAGTTTGAATTAAAAGATGTTGCAATTTAGATTTCCAAGAGGCTTGTTGTGTAAAAGCCAAGAATATACACTGAAGTCAGTGGCTTTTGTGAGTGTTAAATTGAATTGGTGCTTCGTTTTCAAAGTGTCCACATTCATAAAGAGATCGAAATGTCCTCTATTGGAGACACACTGAGAACTGTCAGCTTGGCTTGGAAAGAGTTTTGGCACAAAGCTGCTTCGTGGCTGTAAGCATGCTGGTGATTCCTGTTGTAATTTATGGGTTGATTTAGTATGGTCTGGACAAATTAATCTTTGAAAAATAGCTTTTAAAAATACAGATGACCTAGCCTACTTTTTGCCAGATAATTTGTATCTAACTTTCCTCTCTTTGCATGCAGTATTTATTAATGGACATTGGAAGGAATACCAGAAGCTAGAACTTGAAATAAGAATTCTTTATAGGACTCAGATCTGTAGCAAATTCAGTTTAGTGTAAAATCTATGTAAAGAACTGAGGTATTACCACTTTGAAAGTATTTCTCATGTCCTCAACTGTCAATTTGTGTTTCACTTCCTCTCTCAGGAATTTGCTATCTTGCATTTGGGCATTTCTTCTACTCACAATGTTCTTGCTATCTATGCTTTTTTTTTTTTTTTTTTTAAGTTGAGAAAAAATGTGCTATTGTTTCTTTTGTCTCAGAGCACTATAAACCCTGTTGACGCAGTCTATCAGCCCAGTCCTTTGGAACAGTCAGTGATCAGCACGATGCCTTCCCAAGCAGTTATACCTCCAGGTACGGCGTGAGGAAAGAACCTCAGTAGAAATGTTCAGAAGCAATCTAGATGGAGGGGCTGCTTAATGGTGGGCAGCTTCTGTGTCATATATGCAATACAGGTGCACACTGCACTTAGTGGTGCATGCTCACCACAGTGGTGCAAAGGAAGGGAAAGGGGCAGGAGGCACAGAGCTTCCTTAGCCCTCAGGTAAATCTGCCTCTAGTTCTGTGGAGATGCTGATATATTTTACTTGCTCTAAGTTACTAGCTTACATTTCTAATATGCTTTCTTAAAATAAATGAAGCTATCATTTTCAAAGAAGATAAATGCTTTCTAGCTAAATATCTGCAGTTTTTAAAAATGCCATCTTTGCTTAATAAAAAAGAGCTAGATAACAATGACGGAAATGTGTTTCTCTCTGGATGGCTTTTAGAGAAAAGGATTTCATTTTTGGTGAGGTGAAATAATGTGGAATCTCCTTCTCAACAAAAGTATATTTCTCATATTTAAATGTGAATTTTGGGTTTAACGTATCAAAATATCCCCTAGAACCTGCTCAGTTGTGCAAGTCAGAGCAGCGACCCTCATCTTTGCCAGTGGGACCTGTAGTAGCATCACTTGGAAATCAGACTCCAACACCAAATAGTACAGGTACAGTTCTGTGTAATTGTCTTACTGAAGTATAAGAAGCAAAACCTGACTATATAGTGTTTGTAATCTAATGTAATTAGCTGTTATTAACTGTATTGCCTACATCTTGCTTTTAATCAGCATATATTTCAGTGTTGTGTCAAAATCAGTTGTTCTGCACTTTCTCCCCACTGTGTTTACGTAATACATAGGAGTATTGCCAGCTTTCTTTTTTTGTCTCCGTCGTTGTAATCTTGCAGTAATCAGCACGAGAACTTTGCAGTTAATATGCTGTGTGTGGCCTTTGGGTTTTTTAAAACATCGATTCCCTCCTCTCCCCCTCAAGAAATAGCATTTGTTGGGCTTTTTAAAACTACAGTAGATGCTTTGAAGCAAAAGTTGCTATAATGTATATGAAATTGCTGTTTACAATCTGTTTACAACTTCTGTAATACTTAAGGATTTCTTTTAAATGATAGTCACATAGTTAACATATTTCTTATTACCTGTGTTGACTGTTGCTTCCTGATCAGTTGTATTCATTATATTTTCCAATCATGCTAAAACTCTCACAGTTCCCTCCCAAGTTTTTTTCTTTTGTGTGTAAATGATTTGTTGCTACTTTATTACTACCCTTCCTTCCCAGAACACTACTAATACATTCCTTGAACAGTATTTGTCGCAGTCTGAAAAAATGAAAGATAGCACTGCTGGCTTTTTTTCCTGCCAGAAAATTCCAGTTTCTAGGCTCACTCTATGCATCTCTCCTTCTAGTTAGTTTCTGATGATTGTTGTGTAAATACCTCTAGTTTGCTTAATATCCTCTTTTGTGACTTAAGCTTCCACAAAAGGTCTGTCAGTGTTAACCTGGTTTGTCTTTATTGCTATGACTCTCTTGAAAAACAGTGAGTTAGGGGTGAGACAGGATTCATGTAATCAAATTTAGAAACCTTATTAATTAGATTTTGTCACAAATACATTTGTGGCTAAATTGGAAAAAGATGTTTTAGATAAGTAGAATACAAATTGAGTGTAGCTGGACTGCCAGGCCTGAGGCTTGTGATCAGCTGTATGAGGTCCAGATGGCAACCAGGTTACTACTGGTGTTACTCAGGGGTTGATACTGGGTTCAATACTGCTTAACATCTCAAATTACCTAGACATGGACCTTGCCAGATTGGGGAGAATGATGGATAGAATAGGGCTGCTGTTCAGAGGGGCTGTGACTGGCTGGGGAAGGGGAGTGACAGAAACCTCATGAAGGCAAATGCAAAGTCCTCCGCCCTGCTACGATGGGCATAGACCTCAGCCTGCTCTGTTGCGTGGGGTTACCTGCAGCTTGGCAGAAGAGGAGTCAGGGGTCCTGGTGAGCAACAAGTGGAGTCAGCAGCGTGCCCTTCTGGTGATGAAGGAAGGTTTTGCTGCGTACCTGGCTGGATTAGTGAGAGTGTAAAGAGCAGCTTAAGAGAAGTGACTGTTCCTCTCTACTTGGGATCTGTGAGACCACATCTTGAATACTAGTTTTGGGTTCCACAGTACAAAGACATGGACCACTAAGATTAGGAAGCTGAGGCCTGTGACGTACTTAGAGGCTGACAGAACTGGGTTTGTTCAGCCTTAGGAAGATCAAGCTAAGGCAGGATATTACTGCTGTCTTCCGCCAACTCTTGGGAAGGTATAAAGAAGATAGAACTGGGCTTCTCTTGGAGATGCACAGCACAAGGATGAGGCAGTCAGCACAAGCTGTAAGAAAGGAAATTCCAAGTAGGTATTAGAAAATGTTTTGGTTTTATAATGAGGTGGTTCAAACTTTGGAATAGGTTCCCTAGAAAGATTATGGAATCGTCATCTTAAGAGATCCCTTCCATCATAAATCGTACTATGAATCTATACAAATTTTCATTTTTGTTGTTTTGCCTTTAATCGACAACTTTGCAGAAAACATGTTCTTATACTTTATTATTGTTCTGTGTTCTTGATTTTCCTTGTGAGCTTTCTTTTGTTATCAGTTAAATGAAACTTGGTATGAACCTGACTAATTATTGCTTCTAATTTTGTAAGATCTTATACCTTCTGAGATCACATTCGTCTTTATTGATTTGAACAATCCTATTTACTAAGTTAGAACTGGTGGATCTTGAAAGAACTTGGTATTTATTGTCTGTAATTTTTAATACTTCATAGGAAGTGGGCAATCAGCACCTAGCAGCAGTCTTACCTCTCCAAGCCATGTCAACCTGTCGCCAAATACAGTCCCAGATTTTTCTTACTCGAGCAGTGAGGATGAGTTCTATGATGCTGATGAATTCTATCAGAGCAGTTCTTCCCCAAAGCGATGTATGGAGTAAGTAGCTGAAAGTATGCTGTGTGCTGAATACAATTTTATCTACAAGGGTGTGGCTTGTCTGCTTGTAGAAGTTAGTTAAACTGAATAAACCACATTGGATTTAAAAAAAAACAGTACAGGAAGGCAGAAAACCCACCCCGTTTAACAGTAAGATTATTCCCTCCCCCAGCACAGTCATCTATGAGGGATGCAGTTTCCTCCTCTGCTCCTTCCCATTCCATCAAGTATTTATGTTGGCAAAACTCTTAACATAAACCAAACTTGGGAAGCCACCAGCTCAGAGACAGTCTGAGACCACGGTGTATTTCACAGGCGTTTGTGGCAGCCTTTGGTAAACAGCCAATTCTCTCTCGCATTTACTAAAAGACATTTTTTGAAGTTGACTGCCTTTCTCCAAAATTTCTATTTACTCTTCTTTTTTATGAATCGGAAAATTAATTCTGAGAGATGCTGCACAGTTCAAAGAGGAGTTAGTCAGCTGTTTTATGCCTTCTTAGACTGCAGGCTTTCCCATTCGTTCAGCTACAGTCCGTTTTAAGTTTTCTGTGAATTAACATGCAGCATGTATTTTAATGTCTATCAGTAAGCTCCTTATCTGTGTATATCAAACGATAATAATTTGGTCTGAGTTAGTTCATTGTGAAGTGTGAGAATTAATTACTTTTCTTTAGTTCTTCAGGGTCTGCTGCAGTCCTGACTCGGAGCAGCACGGGAAGTAGTCTGAAACGTCCAGATACCACAGAGTCCCTCAATTCTTCCATGTCTAACGGGACAAATGATGCTGGTAAGTGGACTGCATGAACTTACACTGAGGAGCTCTTGATTGTTAATCTGTGTGTAAACTGTGTCAAAATATGTATGATCGTATGTATATGACAGATACTTAGAGATAATGGTTTTCTTTACTAAAAGGTTAGAGAAAAACAAAAGCAATTTGGTCTTTTTAGATCTCTTTGATCCTCCTGATGATCGAGATGATGACGGGGAAGGAGAATCAGTGGAAGAACATAAGAGTGTTATTATGCATCTCTTGTCACAAGTGAGATTAGGAATGGATCTGACAAAGGTAAACTTGCTAATTGATTATTCCCGGGGAAGGGAGAGGGGAGTAAACCCTGAATTCTGTGTAAATCGGTTCAATGTTAAAGTAATAATTTAACTGTTTATTTGTTCTAAGAGCTAGTTACACTACGATCTCTTTAGCACAGTAATTTTTTTTTTTAATTGAAGTTATTATGGGGAGGGGAAAAATTAATACAGAATGAATACATCCAACTGCTAAAATCTCTTTGGGAAAATAGTTTGCTATGGAAAGTATCTGTTCACTTTGAACCTGATCCTTGGAGTGCCTGTTAAGCTGGGATAAGAGGAAGGCTGTATGCAGTATTAATGTTTCTCCTGTCTTTAGCTTCCTAGAACAAAGATCTACAAGATTCCAGTGTATGGTGACATTCAATAAGGCATAAATAAAAGAGGGAGTTAAGCATATAGTGGAATGCTTTGCTTGTTGGGATATTGAGTAAGTTGCTTGTGTATTTTAAAATGCTACAGGTAGATCTGGCAAGTACAGAGAATGTGATTCAGAGAATGTGTCTGTCTTAAGGCTGAAGGAAAAGCATTCTGAAGGTGTTGATCTTTCTAGGCAGCTTGGTTAAATTTAAACAAGTAATTCTAGACTGGAAAAAAGTGAGGGAGGTCAGTCCTATCATTAGTTGGATGAAGTGGATGACTTCAACTGTCCAATCTGGAACTCACAGTAGACAATAAAAATATAAACTTAAAACTTCTCTGAAGAAATAGCCAGCAGCTCACAGGCAAGCTACAGAAGGCAGTTCTGAATAGGAATTGATCCAAACGTCTGTTCTGGGAATTTCAGGAATAGTTGAAAATTACTGATCTCAAGTTAAGCTGCCAAGAAGCATCGTGAGCGTGCATCTCATTTGCATTGCTTTAAAGTCAGCAGCAGCAATCAGTGCTGCTTTCAGCAGGGGTCTATAGCACACTGAAGCAGACAGCAGATCCACAACGACGGAACCTGCAAATGCTGTTGGGGAAGAAAAGTGGTAGGGAAGAGGTTAACCATCTTCATGAAGAGACACATAAGAGGGTGTGACTGCATGGAAGGAGACTTTTAACTACAACTGAAAATAGCGTACATATAGATGAAATTAAATAATGAGTGTTCCTATAATTAAGAACATCTTTTGATAAGCTCAGCCATGTAGCTGGATGCACTCTAAGTGGGACTAGGATATATGTAAGACGAGATGGTTCCTCTTAAATCTTTGATTTTATGGAAGATGGCAACTGACCTGCATATGTCAGAACTCATTGGTAAGTTTGAGAACACAATCAGCTTACAGGCACATGAAGCCCTTGTGTGCTTTGTATGCTGTTTACAGTTAGTACAGAGAACGCTCTTGTGCAGGGTGTTTAAAGTGTCTTGATCTGCAAGAGTTGTTTTTCTTCACCCAGGTGGTTCTTCCAACTTTTATCCTGGAAAGAAGATCACTGTTGGAAATGTATGCTGACTTCTTTGCACATCCAGACTTATTTGTCAGGTATTTGACTTTTGAAGTAGAGCATTAACTGGGTCTGATACTGTTTACAGCCCTGTGGGCTGCCAGAAATAAGTTGGTAGTTTTGAAGAATATTGCTTGGTTTTTGATCTAAATTTGGAAAACGGCCCAAGCAGTCAAACTTCTAGTTGTAAAACAACCAGACATCCAAAAAGCTTTCCTGTATTTGAGGTACGTGCTTGTATTTCACTTTGCCTGTCCTTTTCTCTCTTTTGGCCCATGTAGCATTAGTGACCAGAAGGATCCAAAGGAACGAATGGTTCAAGTGGTTAAATGGTACCTCTCAGCTTTTCATGCAGGAAGAAAAGGGTCAGTTGCTAAAAAGCCTTACAATCCTATTTTGGGCGAGATCTTCCGATGTCATTGGGTATTACCAGGCACTGAAGGTGAAGATGATATGGTTAGTTTCCTGTGGTATGTTTTTTTTGGTGCCTATAATGCATGCAAGTAATTCCCAAAGCCTTATTAATTTACTGACCAAAATGGCTTATGCTATGCTTAAGTAGCAAAACCAACAAACTATGGTGATTTCTTAAACAATTCCCCCCCCCTTCCTTCCCCCTTTTCTTTGGACAGAATTTTAAAATATATTGCATAATAAAATTTGAGCCATTAGTTTTTTAAGAACTATTTGACACATTGAAAATGTTCTCTTTTTTTCCCTGAACTGTTTCATAGCACTGAGTATGAATTCTTCTTTCCAAAGTTGTTTGGTTGGGGTTTTTTTTTTTATAGATTCTCCAAACCCTTGTGTTTTTAACAGTGGGGTTTCTTTTCTTCACTTACAATTCAGAAAGCAGTGCAGATTCCCCAGTATATTTAATTGTCCTTTTAAAACCTTTTTGTATACTTCTGAAGTTTGGATTCTGAGCTTGGATAATATTTTAATTGTGCATCGGTGTCTGGCGACTACTCTTCCTTTTGTACTTTTATTGGAGCATGCCTGGTGAAGTGAAGGACACAGTAACAGTAGTGCCACTCCCATAATCTGAACTCACCTACCAGTGTATGAGCTCTTCTCTCACTTGCCCAAGTTTTAGTGAGACTCAAGGATTAATCAAGTTTATGCACGTGAACCATCATCAACATGGTGCTCCACTGATTCTAGAGAAAAGCTCTAGCACTTGCAGTGCGTCCTGGTGTGGGGTGGTTTGTTGTTGGTTTGGGGTTTTTTCTTACCACCCCATTTAGGCTTCTCACCTTGGGAAGTTGCAAACAATGATATGGAAAGTGTTGTGAGATACTTCATGTAGCCTCATGTAGTATATCTAAAGACATGATTGTTTAGATATAAAACATGTATCTTTTTCACATTTAATTTGCTTCTCCCCATCCCAATTAGTTTGTGCAAATCTTTCTTTTGTTTCTGAGGTGAATGTTTGGACTGCTCTTTGCTGACATAAAGACAATGTTGTATTTGTGCTTCCATTGCTTCTAATGATGATTTACAGTTTTCATGATACGCCCCAGGAAATGAATGTTGGTTTATGATTTTGTGATATGTATAATCTGATCATTATTAATACGCCTATCCGAAGCAAAAATTAAAATTATTTCTGCCACTCATTTCTTATTACTTAATGAGAAATGGATTTAAATATTACTTAGTAATTGGATTTATACATGACTCTTTCAGGATTTGTAGGCATCTCCCCCAACACATTTATACATAAAACCAAGAGAACAGAAGCTGCATGTTCTTCAGAAAGCATCATAGTTTCAGGAGTAAGGAGTTATTCCCCGTCAAATAGCAAACTGACAAATACATTAAAATCACACTAGTACATTTTTAGAAGCCTTTAAACATGGAAGCAGCTTCTCTTGGAAGCATCTAGTGTTTTGTAAACACTGTCAGTGATGAAAATCCTCTCTACTATCATGCAGGAGCCAGTTTCAGAAGGACCAGTTCCTTGGGTCAGTAAAAGCAGCGTAACGTTCGTGGCAGAGCAGGTCTCTCATCATCCTCCAAGTAAGTGGGTAGTAACTTTGCTAATAGACATGGCACCCGGGTAGGAGCGACAGTAAAATCAGCTCTTGGTTTAAATCCTGGATTTACGTTTTCTCTCCAAACGTAAAAGCTGGAAGTTTTCTCTGTAAACTGTTTTTGTGAGAAACAAATTGCAAACTCTGTTGCCAGATAAGTATGTGGTGCTTTGACATATTTCCTGATAAATGAATTTGTAAACAAATGTATTAATGTCTTGTGCTGCTATTTTTAATAATACATTTTTCTTCAGTTTCAGCATTTTACGCAGAGTGTTTTAGCAAGAGGATACAGTTCAATGCTCACATATGGACCAAGTCAAAATTCTTAGGAATGTCTATTGGGGTTCATAATATAGGGCAAGGTATGTGTGTGTAAATTTAACAATAGAAGATGAATTTACATTCTGCAACTAGAATTTTTGCAGAATTTATTTAAGGTCATCCTATTAAATGTAAGGAATGTTTGATTTCATGTAATTTGAGCTTCCGTATCTAGGAATCGGCGATTCCTTCTGCACGCTCTGTGTGCTGAAATCATGTAGGGCCCAGTTTTTCACGTAAACACAACTCTCCCTGCCTCCTCTAGACGTTAGGCATTCTCAGCATCTAAATAAAGCTCTTCGCTTTGCCTTTTACGGTACCTGTTTGCAGTGAATTATTCAGGAGATCATTATGAGAAGTTCTGTAGAGGTTTTGCTGGACGTTTTAAAAATCTATTTTTATTTTTCTTTGATAGGGTGTGTCACATGCCTAGATTATGACGAACACTATATTTTGACATTTCCTAATGGTTATGGAAGGCAAGTAAATGCTTTATTTGGTATTTTCATTTGTAATGCCTTGTAATATTTCATGCTTAATATTTATCACAAGGTTCTCAGTATATCCATATATTTATAATTGCAGGTCTATTCTCACTGTGCCATGGATAGAACTTGGTGGAGAATGCAGTATTAATTGCTCAAAGACAGGTTATAATGCTTCCATCGTCTTCCACACAAAACCATTTTATGGAGGAAAGAAGCACAGAATTACAGCTGAAATTTTGTAAGCAGGTTTCTTCAGTTAATCTCCCTTTTTCTCTACTTAAATGCTGACAGTGTTTTTTCAAGACAGTCAGAAGTATAAAATACTGGAACAGCTACACCCAATAATGTAGCTCACGATGACCTGTCACGGGATGCCATTTTATAGCCAAGAATTGTGTGAGGAAACTTGAATAGGCCTGCATCTCACCTTCTGCTCTAAAACATTCTCAGCTGATTACTGGAAAAAATGTAAATTTTCACTCCAGAATTATCCAAAATGTCTTCAGCATTAACACTGCTGCAGACTTTTACGTATTTACTTTTATAACTGTGGTTTGGTGGATTTTGTTAGACCCTGTGCACATGCCTGGAGCAGAGAATTCAGTGGAGATTCTTGTTTTACTTGGAGATCTGCTGTAATGTCAGTAAGTGATGCTGGCAAAGCGAGGGCCTTCACTTCGCTTTAAATCACTTTTTGACACACATTGATAGATGTCATTTGTGAACTAGTGTTTGTGTTTCCCAGTAGTCTGGGGAAGAAGCTTTGAGTTGATGAAACCTTTTAAAACTTATCACTCTCAATCTGTTTTGGAAGCCTGTAACTGATTTCCTAAACTTTGAAATGCAGATACAGCCCCAGGGCAAGACTTGTCTTACCCTGGGACAGCACTTCCTTTAAAGGTTTATCCAGTTGAACTGATTCATGCAAAACACTTGTAAACAGAACCTCTGTCTTTTGTGTATTGGTGATGGACATTTAAAGGGCTGATATAAAACAGACTCTACAGCAGTTAGGATAAAGTTTTGATCCTTTAGTGTCTTTCAGTTACTGTAATACAACCAAGAAATGACTGTTTCTTTCTATTTAGTTCTCCTAACGACAAGAAACCCTTCTGCTCAATTGAAGGAGAATGGAATGGTGTCATGTATGCAAAATACACAACAGGGGTAAAGCAGCTTATTTCTCTATTTGTTTTTTTCTCCTTTCCATCACAAATAGAAGATGGTCCTTAAAGTTCTTTGGGCTTTTCTAAAACAAAATTAATAGTTGGGAACTTTATGAAGCTGCCCAAAAGATAACAAGAATGCTGGATTTGGGATAAAAGCCCCGAACTGACTTTGTCAGTTTGTTCTTAAGGTAACCTGATTGTCACAGCAAGAACAGAATCTAAAGAATGATTGTTTTTCATGCACAGCCAGTGTACTAGAGTGTAAGGGTATATAAATTTTAAATCTAGATAAAATACTAATTTATTTTTTTTTAATTTCACTCTCTAGGAGAATGCTGTCTTTATAGATACCAAGAAAATGCCTACAATTAAGAAGAAGGTAAGGAAATTGGAGGACCAAGACGACTTTGAGTCTCGCTGGTAAGAATTTTAGTTAAAAAAAAAAAACACCTTAATTCTCCCATGTTAGACAGACTAATTTGCAGTAGCAGTGTGACTACTGGTGCACTTACCCTTTCACTGCATGGACAAAGGCTCTTCATTAGCCTTTGCCGCAGGACAGAACCAAGGTACAAGCAGGTTGGGGTTTTAAGGGGCAAGAGGAGACCTGCAGTTCTTGGTCACATCTTCCTCCAGAGCAAATATTCCAGGGGGCTGCAAAGAGCTTCACTGCAGCTGCCTCACTCCTGGCCAGAGCAAGAGCCAGTGCAGTTCTAGTTTATATATATTGGGGGTTTTCTGCCCTTTTGATAAAGTGAGACCTACGTTAATTCAAACAAATATCAATGACTAAGAGCCAGTAATATGTTTCTACAACATTGTAGCGCTTTGCTTCTATAAAGCAGTCTCCAAATTTTTTTTTTTTTAAGCTTATGGAAAGATGTAACCTACAACTTAAAAATTAGAGACATTGATGCAGCCACAGCTGCAAAGCATGCGCTGGAAGAAAGACAAAGAGCTGAAGCCAGAGCCAGAAAGGAGAACGAGACCTCGTGGGAAACAAGGGTGAGCTTTATTTGAACAGTGTAAACGGCCTCTAACCTACAGCATTTGTTCCTTTCCAGTGGAGTCATTAAGAGCTTACATCTGATTATTCTTTTTTATTTTTTTTCTAGTTATTCCATGAAGATGGAGAGTGCTGGGTTTATGACGAGCCACTATTGAAACGACTTGCTGCCAGTAAACATTAAGTGGGTTATAAAACCAGAAAATGTTCAAGCCTTGGCTTAGCAAAGTTTACATCTGATACCAAGATAGTCATTATCACGTACGTACCGTTTGGAGAACCTGACCCCTCCAACTGCAGTGGTTCCTATCTCAGGGATACTGGACTTACTGATGCAGATAAGCAATTAAATGAAACAAGAAACGTCTTGGCTGTGCAGTAACTTGTGCTGGACTCCTGCAAAGGCAGGCTCGGGGAGCCCTGACTGATGCTTCTAAAGCAGGGAGAGTCTGGGCCAGGAAGCGTATACACTTTGTATAACCACTGTGAAGGCCATGGCATTGGTATCAGTTGCATAATATTCCTGGGTCCTACATATTTAAAAAACAAGAAACAAAAATGCAAGACATCATTTAAATCTAGCTAATGTTTGCAATGTGTAAATATGAGGATTCCTTTGATGGGACAATTTGTTAGAAAATGCTACGTAAATGTTATCTTCCACCTGTATGATAATCAAATCTTTTGGCATTTCAGTGTCTTGCCCAAAATAACTTTGTTATTTTGAGATTAAAATGTAACCATAGATAATTCTACTCAATGCATCTTAAAGCTTCATAAAATAGATTTTTCAAACTTCTCTTATGGACTTTTTATTTATTTCATAATAAACCTTTGCAGCAAGACTGTGTTTTTTTCAGCTGAGTGATAATCAATTGCTTTATGTGAAATGTTATTTTTTTTTTCCCCACTGGAATCCTTATAACTAAAACCTATTTCTTAAAGCAGTTAATGAGCTAGTAAAAGGGACAGAATTTGCAGCATCCAGAGTGGAATTTTTCTAGGACCTACATACAGCCTTTTGTTTCTACTAGCTCACCAACACTGTAGGAATCTTTGCATTTCAGTGCTTTTGTTTGAAGTTAGATAATGGTTGAGGAAGTAGCTAGATGTAGCAATCGAACTATTTTCCTTTTCACAGTTAAATCTAGCTTTTATCTGAATTCATCTCAATTTTGTCTATGTTGCACATACAGAAAAACTGAAAAAAAAGCAGCATGAGAGTGAAGCCTCAGGCTTTTTTTTCCCCTCCCACCTACTCTAACTCCTCCAGCAGACCTGCAGAATACATTCTTTGAGGAGATGTAACCACGAGTCGGCAGCTGCTGCAGCACTGCAGGGACAACGCACAAGACACTGAACAAAGAAGTGCAGCCCCCACCTGCAGCCAGCCAGAGGGGAGAGAAGGTGGTGGCGTTCTGGTGGTGGGGAATGCTCCCTTCCTTCCGGCTCAAAGTCAGGGCTGTGCCTGTTCTTAACGAACGTAGGAGATTAATGAGAAGAGTTGGCTGGAAATATATTTGAGGAAGCGGGATCTGAATGGCCAGCTTCAGCCCAACTAATGCTACAGCCCTGGTTTAATAAGAATAGGTTTGTAGTGTTTATATTGCAGAAAGCACCTGGATTACACATCACTGCAGGGCAAGACGTCATTTTTATTTTAATATTTTATGGTAAGGGAGAACATTCAGAGTTGATGTGTAAGCTTTGATGTCCTTGATGGAAGTAACATTAGTCATCAGAGATGATGGGGGCAAGAAAATAAGATGAGGTATTTCACCAGATGAAGAATTCTGTACTTCTGCAACAGCTGTAACCTCTGAGTCCCCTTCATGTTTTCCATATCCAACCACCTGGAAAAAAGTTAACAAAACCAGAAATTTGGCTCTCATTCAGTGTTCATCTGCCCTGACAAATACAGATGCTTAAATGCAATTGAAATGACAGTAATAATTAGAAATGTAGAAAATACTGAACACCCCATTAAACATTAGATTACAGACCTCTTCCACACCCACCCCTTACTGAGCTCTCTGAGGTTATCAAAGTTTGGTGGTTTTGGCAAGACACTCACATGTACACTCAGCACTTTCTTCTTGTTGCTTCTGTGAGCCTGGAACCAGGTGACCAGGTCTGATTTTGTAACAGACTTCAGAGCTTCGATCTGAAACACACAGAAATGAGGCTTAAGTAGCACCATGGTGATTCAAGTAATTTTAAACATAAAAATGGTTTCTCTACAAACTCTATCCCTTTTTAAAATAGTGTGTAATTTTAGAATCAGTGTGGCATCAATCCCCCTACTTATGCTTTGATGTAAAGCTGCTACCCCAGGGAGGGACCACGCACCTCCCGGGCCAGCCTGTCAAAGAGATACTGCTGGGTCACAACTTCATTCCAGTTCCTGTCTACTTCTTCTCCAAGATGGGAATCTTCACATTCTTTAAGTTTTATCAAAGCTGTAACCTATGTTTGAAAAAGACAAAACAATTAGTTTCAAAGAATTTAAGACTACCTTAATTTACTATTGTATTCACTGAAGTCAATAGAAAACCTGAATTACACTAACAAGGTACTTCATTGCTTTCAAAGTTAACTAAAGGGCCAGAGAGCAAATGTTTAGACAATGACCACAGAGTAACAGGCAGGATTTAAGAGCAAATCCTCTGTCTGGAAAACCTCAGAAACATGCCAGATGGAGGTATAAGAAAATCCTCCAGTTTGGGTGTCATTTAGCAGTTCAAGGAAGATCTTTTCAAGACTGAGTTTTACCTGGGTGCTAAAAGCATCTTCAGTTAAATGCTTGATTTTCTCTTCAAAGCAAGAAAGAAACTCCTCTATTTTCTTGTCAACCAGTTCAGAACTATAAGAGAGTTAAATAGTTAAATCAGGCAGGAAAAAGAAAAAAAAAAAACAACCACCTGCAGGATAAAATAGCAGAACAGCCCTCAAAGTGACAAGGAAATGTGTGGGACAGGCTCGCTTCCCTCCCCAGATACCAGCTTTCCTGGCATCAGGGAATAAAACCAGTGCTCTCAGTTTCAGTTCTATTAAGGATTGTTCAAACAGGGGCTTCAGAGTCACTGCTGTGGGGGCTCTACGCTGCAATAAGCCCAACAGCAGCATGTGCTGGGTCAGGACCCCCAGCTGCAGTCCTGAGCCCCACATGTCAACAGGGATGGTCTATGGGATTAGGACAAAAAGAAAGAAAAGTAATGGGCTGTGAGGGATTGATGACACACAATTCAGTAATGGAAGGGTCATTCAAATGTAAAAATAAGAGGCAGCACCACTCTGTGCTAATTAAACTTTCACCAACACAGTATTAGTTTTCATAACTTGCATATTTTTCATAGAACCCTTCAACTTCAGCAGGTCAAATACCTGCAGTTACCCCCAGCTTTGAACAAAGCCCTAATATTGTTCTGTCTGCTGAAAGCGGGCTGGAAGAACAGGCTATACAGGATTTACTTGGCAACAGATGGAGCTCTCCTGGCAGAGTATCATCAAAGGGCAGTGGGATATTTTGCTTAGTCTTTGGATTACTTTTCCCTGTTCAAGTCAGGGCTGCTGCAGTTTTAAGAAGCTTAAGGCTATTGCTTTATTTCAGTCGCTATGTTGCAAGGGTCAGCAGTGTCTCAAGCTGAAGCAGGACTTTGCTTTTGAGAGTCCCTTTGGGCTCTTACGTAACTCCCCTCAGAGATTTCAGAAACCCCTCCATGGCCTGAACAGGGTGGGAACTCATAAATGAGAGCAGGTGCACTGGAAAGCTCAAGCAAAAGCAAACTGAAATCAGCTGTGACCTGAGCAAACCGAACAAGGAGAAGATTAAGCAAAACTCAATAATAATTCTTCAGAGCTGGATGTTGCGTAAATACACCCCCTACACAAAGTACAACACAAACATGGTCACAGAGTTAGTGACACCTCACTATAGCTCACAGAGCTCAGCTGTTCACTGCCCGAGTACACGCAAGGTCCACTGGCCACCCTGTTAAGCCTCACTTTCCTAAAACCAGTTGCCATGAATTTCCTGTGCTGAAGTCCTTCCTGGTCAGACAGCAACAGCTGCCATTTGCCGAGATCCTCCACACAGCAAAACACAGGGAGGAAGGGGCAGCTGATTGTCCCTGTCCCAGGCTGGCAGGCAACCACGACACCTCCCTGAGCAGAGCCCGAGTGCACCAGCCAGGCCCTGCCAATGGCCTGAGCCTCTGCAGGGGGAGGGGGTGAACACGGCCACTAGAGAGGGGCCCGGCCACCTCAGGGGCGACTCCTGTGTTTAATGCTCAATGTTACCACCGAGCTCTTACTTGTATTTAGTTGCCTGGGTTGCGACTGTGACTGAGAAGCCAAGAATCCCAGAAGTATTCCTGCAGGTAGGGTACACGTGGTAGCTTAAAAAACACAAAAGAAAAAAGGGAAACAAAGTCATTCCACAAGCACAATTAAATTTTCATTTTTACAGGATGTACCACAAGTTATAACAGTGTTGGTATTCTAGACAAAAATCTCAGATATAAATTCTCAACAGTCCTATTTCCTTCCTGCATCACTGCACTTCAATGTTCACTCGTTTTTTGGGAAATCCTTTTAAGCCTGGCAAGAGTATTTGTGTTCCTGCAAACTAATTCATCAGTGACAGACCTAGAGCTGTGAAAAACTCGTTCCAGTTTCCTGAGGTAGAAGGGTGCCTCTGAGGGAGGCTGCTACACACCACAGAGCGTCCGTGAAAACAGCCCTGAGGAACAGGGAGCTCGTTTGGGAAATGGAAGGAACAACTTTATGCTGAATCATTTCTGAGTTAACACACTGGTAATGGATGTAATTCTTAGAGGACTCAAAAGCAACTCGTACCGATGGCTGCTCTTGGTTTTGATGTGTTTATGTTGGTGTTTCCATTAGAGTAATGGAGGAATTAGTCACTGTGCAGGAAGGGTTTCCAGAGTAAAAACACTAGGGAACAGCAACAGCAGGTGTGCAGGAGCTGTGCTCCCCAGCGCACTCACCCAAGGGTCTGCTTGGTTCTCAGGAAGTCGAAGCAGGGCTCTTCCATGTGCATCTGAAACGGAGCACAAACGTGTTACAGCAGAAGTGACCTTCCTCTGCAGCCACCCCTCGGGCTCCGTACGCAAACGTGGTCACAACACATGAGAACAACTGAAGTGCTGCCTGTCCAGCTGCACCCTCTGAATTAAGGTCTCAGCTTTCTGGGTCGGCAGCTAAGAACAGCCTTCTGCACTGTCCGTCACTGCCACAGTTGGGGATCCTGCCCCAAACGCTCACAGGTTGAATCAGAGCGAGCAGCAGATGCAGGTACATGTACACGGAATGTACCTCACCCCCCTCGCACCCTCTAGCTCCAAGCACTGTTTCCAGGGATGACCCTTGGGTGAGTTAGGAGACACAGACACCAACTTACCACAAGCAGCTCCATAAGGGTATATTCCCTTAGGTTCCTGGCACCTGACTAGAAAGAAAATGAAGAATTTAGGGTGATTTCATGGAGTTAAATGCTACAGTTCAGACCAAGGCAACAGTTGTGGCACACATCTCAGCCTGGAACGCAGCACTGAATGACAATTCACAGCAGGGACAGCTGGAATGATCTTGTTTTCTGCAGGGGCCTCAATATGGCCTTCAGAAGAGAGGGGAAGGGCTCAGCCCAGGACCACAAAATCAGTGGTGAGGACACCAGGAAATCACCAAGGCACAAACCCAGCTACCAGCACAGGCCGGGAGGGGAAGATGCCCAACTCAAGGAACCCCCAACACTGCGAGAGCCCAGCTGGGTTCAGCCTCAGGCCGAGGGCCTGTGCTTGCACGAGGAGGTTTCTGTGTGCTC